TTTTTTGGGGGGGGGGGGTTATGTGGAGTTCTAAGCATTTATTACTGAATTAAGAGGCAAAGATGTGTACATTGATTTTGGAAATTAGAAAGAAGGCAGTGTTTAAAGATCATAACCAGTCAAGTGGGCAGCCTAGCAAAGCTCTAAAAGTAACAGTACCTTTTTAAAATCAAGTTTTATTCATCCGATAATGTTCAGCTCAGTCTGTTTTACTGCTGGCAGAGCTCTTGAAGTCAGTATTATTGATGGATTTTTATTCTTCTCTAAAAGCAGAAAAGATATTAAGATGTTGGTTCTCACTGAATCTTCCTTCATATTTGAACAAACATTCCCAGCTATGTAGTTAAAGAAATCCAGATAAAGATTCTCTTTTTTCACTCTCCTGTCAACTGTCTTTCACATTTCCACCTGAGGCACTCAACCTAACTTTACAGCACTTATTCAAGACAAGACACACTACATTTCTCTCACTAGAAGATGGATAAAACACTTAAATACCCAATGAAGTTATAAAACTACTTAAATTTAAAATCTGTGAATTTTTTTTCCAACAAAATATTTTGTTTACAATGTTTATTTGGAAAGGGCAGCACAATGGCATAGTAGTTATCACTGCTGCCTCACAGCAGGACAGTCTTGGGTTTGAATCTATATTCTCATGTGGCTCCTTGTGAAATATGAATTTCCTATCTCTGCTCTAAGGAAACATGTTAAACTATTGGGCAACAGGTAGAGTGTAAAATTAATATAGCAAGCCAATCTTTAGACTAAGCCACCATAGCTACTCACTGTAGGGATCAGTTGCTCATTAGTCTCCTGTCATATTTTACTGTAAAATATGGCACGGTGGTTAGCACTGTTGCCGCACAGCAAGAAGGTCCTGAGTTCAATTCCAACATCAGGCCGGGGTCTTTCTGTGTGGAGTTTGCATGTTCTCTCCGTGTTTGCGTGGGTTCCCTCCGGGTACTCCGGCTTGCTCCCACCGTCCAAAGACATGCAGCTTGTGGGGATAGGTTAATTGGATAACCCAAATTGTCACTAGGTGTGAATGTGCGAATGAATGTGAGTGCGAATGGTTGTCTGTCCTTGTGTGTTGGCCCTGCAACAGACTGGCGACCTGTCCAGGATGTACCCTGCCTCTCGCCCTATGACAGCTGGGATAGGCTCCAGCACCCCCCGCGACCCTGAAAAGGATAAGCGGAAGCGAATGGATGGATGGAAAATAGAAAAATAGTTTTAATGTGTGTAACAAAATGAAATGAAATGAAATAAAATCTCCTTTGTGTCTGCAGCTAGAACCTGTTTACAAAAATGCATTCGGTTCATCATTTGTTGCATTGGATGTTGTGAGCTTCAGGTAATTTCAGTATTACCTACCAATTTCAGTATTTTGACATATAACATTAAGAGCCCTAAATATTCCAAACTATAATTTTTGTCTCTGCATTTACAGTCAAGGATCAGTCATAAACAACATGGAACTTCAGTTTGTAAATTCATCTGTACCAAACAACACCGAGATTAAAAATGTTTTGAACAGTACAGCCTTAAACGTTACAGACTTTGACATTGAATTGGCCTCCATCAATGTCAGTGACACAAGTAAGTAACATTTCATGATGTTTAATCAAAAAGTCTCAAATGTTTTAGAGTGACTTGGTTAGAAATGTTTTGCACATTTTTTCTACCACAGATGCTGCATCAACTACTACAACTGTTGTACCAACAACTACACCTAGTGCAACAACTACTACATCTGCTGCAACTACAGCTTCAAGTGGAGTATGCCACAAGATTAATTCCAGCACTGTTTTCCCTCTGATGCTGCTATTATGGGTTCTATCAAGCCAGCAATAGCATCTGTGCTATTCCATATGAATGGCTTGCAGAAGATGATCTCTTTCACTGCAACTCTTTATTTATTATTATTTAATTGAGAAAGAATATATGTTTGTCAATATGAAAATATTTCTGGGTGGGAATGACCCTGAAATGAACAAAATGACACAGACTTATTTTATGCACCCCATTAATTGAATCATAAATAGAAAATCTGACTCGAGGATACAGGGACAAAATATATGGTTTCTTCTGTATCTTAGAGGCTTGGCAGTTTATGCTGTTCAATTCAGTTTTATTTATATGGCACTAAACCACACTAACAGTCATCTCAAGGAACTTTATATTGTAATGGTAAGATAAAGAACCTACAGAGACCTTCCTGCTTGTAAGCGTGTTTCTGCCTACATGTCTGTTAACTGTTATTCTTTCATTTAGAAAAAAGACTAAACATGAAAAGATATATAGAAACAAAAGGTCTTTTTTATAATTTCCAAATGCTTGTAAATTATGTTTTAAGTTCATATATATATATATATATATATATATATATAAATTTTATATCAAAAAGCTGAGTTTTCTTATGAGACCACAGTGCATGGCGGATGAGTGAGTGAAGTGTGAAAGATGTGACCGACACAGGCTGCTCCACACAGCAACAGAGAAGGCTGAGTGTAAAAAAAAGGCTGAACTGCATCACTATTTTTGTTGAATAGATTTTTTTGTACCATAACTGGGTTCCGGAGGCAGTTTATAACTTTCGCAGAGATCGGGAGATTATTTCATTACGCTGCATTATTGACGCCTGCATTCGGGTGCTCTCATGTTCGCTCTGCTTACGTATCTGTTAGCTCGGTAATTTAGACAATAGGATGTTGACAGTAGAAAGTAGATCTACTGGCACTTTTCTTTATATAGTTGTATGATTATAATAAGATTTATATTCTGTGACATGTCTTTCAATTGTTATATTTTCTGTAAGAAAGTTACAATAACCACAATACATAATCTATGAGAAATTTACACTGTCTCCTGTGATGTTTTGCAATTTAGGTGGGTAAAGAGAAATGGATTCAAGGAACTTTGAGAACCGGAGCTTTCATGAATGCTAAAGCAATTTTGAACAAACTGTATTTTGTATTTTTCTGGGCGAAAGCACCATGCCACTCCTGTGTTTTAAATGCACTTTAGAACAGCACGCAACAACACCACATATGGGGGGCGGGGAGAGGTATTGGGCCTTCACACCTCCCCTGGGAGGAGACGTTGGCCCTCTCCTTCTGTTAACTCTCTTACCAACTTCTCTTTTCTTCTTATTTTGCTTTCTCGCTCCCAAGCCCAGTTCTGATTATAACAACTTAAAATGAAAAATAAACAATAAAGATCAAATAAACTGTGACAGTCAAGTGGACCAGTATAGTAAAAGTTCCACTTTGGAAAGTAAATCTGTTGGGCATTTTTCTTGGCCTTCAGACAATAATCCATTTTACTACAGCACCGAAAAAAAGGAGAAAAAAAAAGAAATGGGGCATAACAGCACTGCCCTGTGCACTCCGGTCAAATGGCCAGATGGTCTGTCATGCTGAGATACAAAAGACCAGGCACACAGGCAGCGTTATGGAAGAGTGCGTGTTTGAGTTATAGTGTTTTAGCTTGGTAGTGTTGTTGCTAACCGATGGACTCGCATGCAGACAAAGTTCTGGCAAGCAAAAGGTGACAGTTTATTTACAAAACGTGAAACCACTGTGCTATAAATATATACAGAGAGTGGGGCTGGGGCCAGGGGTAAGAGGGGAGGGAATCCACACACACGCTCGCCTCTTCAGCACAATCACTGCCACTCCTCTTGTGGTCACACTCGCTCCTCTTCAGCAACTTTCAACCTAATTTCCATTCACGCTGCCACACTCAGAGATCACAGGGAAGGATCCAAAACCAGTTCCGGGGGAATCTATACACAGGCATGATCAGATCCAACAGGCTAAATACACAGTTTTCTAGTAGAGAGCTCAGAGCACGAACACGTTCAACGTTCCAGCAATGACTGCTCTGTGTCACGGTTCTGGGTCATGTTGACCCAGCTTTCTATTTTTTATGCTTTGGTGTTTTTCTAGATTATGATTTATGATTTGATTAATCAGTGACACTGTTTTGATTATGATTTTTATTTAGTAGGCTTTGGTCAGTGTCAAGTCTGTCTTTCTCTGTCTAGTCCGTGTCTTAGTAAAGTGTGTTTTCTTTCCTGTTTTACTTTGAAGGTTCTTGTTCCTGTCTGATGTTAGTGTTCTGGCTTTGCTCTCCCTGTCTCGTTAGGTCTTATTTCTTCCAGCTGTGTTCCCCTTCTGTCTCTAATTCCTTGATGACTCCATCAGTGTACTTAAGCCCAGGGTGTCTTTGTGTCAGCGTCGTGTCGTTAACGTCTGTTCATCCTCGCGTCCTCTGTGTGTTCTGTTTGCCAGCCTGTCTAGTTATTCTGTTCTCCCAGTTTAGTTAGTGTTTTTCCTGTTCAGTTTCATACCAGCAATAAAGCTGTGTGCTTTGACTTACTTCCGCCTCCGTGAGTCCTGCGTTTTGGGTCCTCTCTTCCTACCTGCCTACACACAGACATGACACTCTGTGCCACACCGTCAAATAGTCATAGGGAACTCCGGCAGGTCAGCAAGAGGTGGTGGCAATCACCGCAGGTGTGTGGGCTAAGAGTGAGAGCCCACAATGAACTTCACCCAGGCAAGCAGGAGGGAGTGAGAGAGAGAGAGAGAGATCAAAAAACAAAACAAAATCTTTGACCATCATGAGCCAGCTGAAGAGGCACAGGGACCATGACAGGTAGCTTTTCAGTTCCATGCTGCTCGGCTCAGCCCTGACCATCTGACCTGTGCTACTCCTCTTTGTTGATTTAGGCCGCTGAATTCACCAAGATATAAGCAAAGATATCATGACTGGTTTTCATCACCCATACTGTATAAAGGTGGACTTCTGTGATTGAATCTGATGAGAAGACTTTAGTGTTGTTCTTTTGTTTTGTTTTTTCAGTTTATAAATAATAAATTAGTTATTCATTATACATCAGTGGTGATGGGTTTGGCTGGATAGCTCCATCTTTTTTTAAAGAAATTATGGTGAAGACAGCTCTTGAAAATGGTGTTATTGACAATTAATATTTTCTGACACATGATGAGAACCCAGAACCAAGAAAGGAAACAAAGGGAGAATTTTAGGTGTATATGTAATAGATCTCCAAGGGTCTTGTGAGTCTACTCAGTGCTGGTGAGATGTTCTGGGAATGACTGGAAAGTTTGATGCAGCCAAAATCTGTCAATGCTGTAAAAACAAGAGACACTGAACAAGAGAAGAATGTCCAATAATTAGGCTTCCCTTAGTAAATGAGAGTTAATTCTGTGTGACTACTGAAAGAGAAAAAACACCCTACAACAAAGTATAATGTTATAATGAAGCTTCCCTGCATATCTGTAGATTCCCCTGTGTATGGGAAGTCAATTGTACTACTGTAGGTGATTACTATATATAATCACCTACTTGTATTAATTAGATGAATGCTCCTTTTGTTTCATATGAGTTTTGTATCTTAGGATGGAAAGGGAAAGATACATGCTAAAAAATTGTGAAGATATTGGGGCTAGTAAGAGCTTTCCTTGCCCATACTGCGACAAGAAGTAAATCCTCAGTGCCTGGCATTGGTTTGTTGCTCTATGGATTCACAGTTTCCACTTTTATTCCTATCTGATACGCTATTTTGACCAAATTACTCATTCACCCATGAAAATTATTGATTTCAGGTGTTCCAGTCACTTCCATGGCCACATGTGTATAAAATCAAGCACCTAAGTATTCAGACTGCTTCTCCAAATATTTGTGAAAGAACAGGTCACTCATTCCAGTGTGGTCCTCCTTGTTGCTTCTAACATAATAGCAACTAGGAACGACAGCAATTCTGCCACAAAGTGGTAGGCCTTGTCTGAGATTTTCAGTAGATGTACCTATTGTATCAGTTTTAAAATCCTATGTGACTTCTTTCTGGAGTTATTGCATTCACGAGATTATCAGAAAACCTGACATCTGACCTTGACTTTGAGGTCGAGGTCACTGAGATTTGAATTCATTCAAAATTTTTAGTAGATGCACCTATGATACCAATTTCAAAATCCGATGTTCCCTTGTTCTCAAGACTGTTCCTCTTTTGAATACGAAAAAAGACGAAAAATAAACAGACACCTTTGTTGTTTAAGATTTTTAGGAAAATTATCCACAACTCTTCATTATTTCTAAATCCCTGTATAAATTGGGTTTCACTTCACATAGTTTATACTAAGTATATATCACAAATTATATGTAATAGTGTAAAGAATTGATCTACATGTTTCCTATAACCAGCACTGTCACTCCTCTAATTTATACAAAGTTTTATAATTATCTATAACTGTATCCTATGAGATTTCTTTTAATTTCTGTAAGATAAGTTAGAATCATAAGAAAACAAAATGTATGCAAAATTTACAATGTCTCCTGTGATGTTTTACAGTTGAGGTGGGTAAAGAGAAAGGGGGTCAGGGAACTTTGAGGTCAGGAGCTGTAACAAAAGGCAAAAGCAATATTGGTCTCTGTTGTGTCAAGGTCATGTTTTATTGTTTTGGTTATTTAGGTTTGTGGTGTAGTCAGACTCGAGCATCAAGGAAGGTGGTAGGGAAGCAGACTACGCAGACATGTCGGGGTTCCAAAGGTGAGCAATTTATTTACAATGAACTCTATTTAATGTGCAAATTCCCCCTAACGTAACTAAATTAACAAAACTCAACAGTACATGGATCTGGTAACACAGCTCACCTCTCTCTCTCATCTGAATCTGGAAGAGACTGGCTTTAAATAGGGCCATCAATTTCCCTTCAATTAGCCCAGCCAGTACCACTCACTTGAACGGAGGGATCTAAGACTCTACACTGATGATTAAAAAAGACACAAAACCTCCTCACCCTTCTAATTGGTGCATTTACGCAACTAAACGGCTCTATTTACAAAAAAAGACCCCTTCAGACCTTGAAAAACACAAAAGGAAGGTTAGACCTGTTGATGTCATGTGTGACATCATCAAGCATTGAAGCTTGTATTAAAAAACGGTTCATTACTGAACCTTTTCAACATAGTCCTCTCTGGTGACATCTGGAGGCCAAAAATATGAAGAGCAGCTTGAATCTACAAAATAAAATGAACTGCTCCATTATGGTTCTCCAGTCTACAGAGTGGAATTCTGTTTGATATTGAGCCACCGTTGTGTTGCTTTGAACATGTATTTTTTTGAGTGAAAAAATTGTTTGTTTGTTTGTTTGTTTGTTTAATAAATAATTATAATCAATAAACTTTCCTTGTTTAAACATGTGCCATG